GACTGGCCGGTTCCGTCGAACCAAAAGGACTTACGTAAGTGGCTTGGCTTAGCCAACTACTTGCATAAGTTCAGCGAGAATTACGCTGATATGGCTTGGCCACTGTCCAATCTCCTTAAGAAGAATGCACCTTGGTGCTGGGACGTCCTTCATGACGACGCCTTCAAGGCTGTTAAGGAGAGCCTCCTTAAGGCACCCATCTTGGCGCTTCCGGGCCCGTATCGTCCGTTTATCGAGAAAACGAACCAAGGCTGTATGAACTGGTTCACTCTTTATTACAAAGATGACCCTAGAACCAGGTAAACCGATATACCGAGTTCATAAACTGGTACTTGAAACGTCCGACCTGATAAATCGGTTTACTGAGCTCTTCACGTCGCAGATTCGCTCGGCAGATGTTTTATAAATACTTTAGTATTGCAAAAATTATGTATTTTTGAGAAGCTAATATAAATATCGCGGTAATTAGAACGGGAAAAGATATACCATCACTGCCACAAATGTCATACAATGCTTGCCTAGGTTATTGTGGCCAAAATGCAAATACCTGAAATAAAAAGAACTAATTTCCGATGGCTTATATTGTTATTCTTTATTTTTCCTAGATGAAGCTTAAGCTTACGTGTAATTCTCAACTTCGTGCCATCTGTAGTAGTGTTATTGGATGTCGCTCTTGGGTTCGATAGTGGATTTTGCTTGTCGAGGAATCAGGGAGTAGCAGCCACGAGTTGCACGAGTTTGATGAGCCAGATCACCTACACACCACTAAGTTAGACCACCAGCCCAGCACATACCTAGGCCATGTAGAGCTGAGGGAAGCGCGTTGGCGTCTCTTCTTCCTCCACCATCGCCTTGTCCTGCACAGTCATCGCCAAACGTTGCAACTTGCATCGCTGTGCACTGGCCTTCCTCTCCTTTGTGATGAAAAGCGAGTCATTCGACAGTACCAACAAATCGGCCACGTAGACCCTCCGAGCTTCAATCGTCGCGTTTAGTGCGTCAGACAACGCCGATCGCACTGCATTAATCGTCTCAAGAACTTCAACCTCCAGCGCCATCCTTCGGGGAA